TTATTTCTATTTGATGGGTGCACAAAACTTTTTTTTTTTTCTCCTGAGAATTTTTAGCTCAAAGGTCAGTGTAAGTGAGCTGGAATATTCTTGGTTTTTTTCCATCAGTTTTAAGAAGAACTTTTAAGGTTATTACCTTTTACAGATTATCGGTTGAACCCTCTCATCACATCGTCACGTTTATGGATTTAATGAAATATTTAAAGAAAAAGGAGTTCAAAATTCCTTGCAGGAAAATCTGAAGTAACTGTAGTGAGGTTATTTTGAATTTGAGTATTAACTGCGCTTTTCCAGTCACTGACGCCTATCGGGAGCCAATTTAATTTATCTGTGGCTAGTTCTGCTTGTTACATTTTGTGGTAAATTAGAGTTGTTTCTTTGGCTTTGAGTTACAATTCCCACGCATTTTTGCAATTCTGGGTCAGTTGACATACAAGCGTAACAGAAGAATGTTTGCATTTAGAAAGGTAAAACCAATAACTGCATGCACAGTTTTGGAAATGTGTATATTGTTGCATCTCGGCATGAATTTATTTAAATTGGCTAATTATTATGCAGAATATTATTTGCTGCTTACATATGCCTTTTTACTTGCTCATTGCAGAATTTGAAAAATAAGGGGATAACTAGTGTGCTTGTTTTACACAGGTAGAAATTACAGATATGGATTATACAAGGTCAAATAACTACTGCTTGAATTGGGTCTTGAAGCTTACACTGTTGGGTCCTGGATTCTATACTGTATTTCCTCATGAAGCAAAATAACACGAAATGATCCAGATATGTGAATCAGTGAAATTTGCTGAAATTTTTCTTTTTGCATGAAGTGTGTTTTAGCCCTTTTTTGGTCCTTACCTTGGTCCCTCCTTCCTTATTCACTTCTTTTTCTTTCTTCTGCTTTTTTTGGATCCCCTTTGCTTCTTTCTTGGATCCCCTTTGTAAAATTTCCCCGTTAGTGGTTTTGTGTTCTTCCTGAATAACTTTGTCAATAAGCCTTATCAGGTAGTCTTGCACTAAGAAACTTCTGTGAGTGCTCTGGCTATCTTTAGTAGGAGCCTCTCCTGTGCTAAAAGAGTTAAGGATTTATTTTTTCTGTAAACTTGTACTATTTCCTTTGCTGTTAAAATGCAGGCTTTGAACCTATATTGAATGCTTTCAGGTATTCAGAAATCTGTAGATAAGTAACTTGAGAGGCCTAAGTTCAGGCTAGTGCAATGCTGATAATTTGAACCATTGCAGTTTACCTGTTTATTGTACCTTGATCTAATTTGTGTAGGTTTGTTTGTTTTTTGTTTGTTTGCCTTTAGTGAACAGCAACAATGATAATAGATGCCCCCTGGAATGCTAAATTCCAGCTAAAGCATGATGTTTTGTTTTGAATTTAGAAATTAAGTTTAGGCCTTGATTTAATTTTGCTTAACACACTTCAGAGTATTGTTATTAATAGGAGAAATTTAGTAAACTTAGTAGGAACTAAGAGCTTTGAACTTCTATTTTTTAACACAGTTTTGCATTGATTTGTAATATGAAGTTGAGCAGTCAGTTTTTTCCTTTTTTTTTTGTTTTTATAAATTGATTACTTTGCTTTTGTGTGCAAAGAATTATCTAGGCTACACAACTCCTTTAGGGATGGTGGTTGGTCATCATACTAGCTGAATCTGAAATGAGCAGCGGTTGGGGTAATCCATTCTCATCCTTCATTACCTAACATGACTAATTACCATATCACTCAAACTATTCCTTTTCAGTCGGAGTATCACTATTGAAGGCATTTCAAGGTATTGTTCTTTACTATCTTCCTGTTGCTCGATTGAGCTTGTTTCCTGGTAAGCAGTCTGAATCTTTTTTTCCTAGTGTTGGCTGCATACTTGCAGAATTTTACCAGGGACCATTGTATTTACCCTTATTTATAAGTAAGATTTCCAGTACGGTTACTTAATCAAGGTTACCAGTACTCGTGAAGGCATGTTAGCAAAGAGAACAGGACACATTAAGTGGCTAGGACTTCAACAGACTTAGGTGAATTGAATTTGTTGATGACATTGGTATACTCTGTATCTGGTTTAGTTTCTAAAAGGGATTTTGATTTGAAGAGCAGACTTCTTATGCTTGTTTAAGTGAAAAAGATACCTCTTGGTACATATTGAATGAGAAGTAACAACATTACCTTAAGCTACATCAACATTAGATTTTTTTTGGTTTTACTGGTTCTTGAAGTGAAAATGCTTGAATTGTTATTCTGGTATGTTTTGGGGAGAGCTGTAATTACTGGTGTGTTGATAGGTCTTAGAATTTGGATCCCATATTAAGTATTTTCCAATGCCAAGTTTTGGTTCTCAAAAAGTGTGAAGTGAGGGATGACTTGATATAAAAACTTACTGTCAGCAGTAACTTCAATCCAGAGCTGTATCTTCCTTGGAATTGTGGTCTTTGATATTTGAAAGTGCCGTGCATTCGGAAGGCGTCCTACAAACCATTTCAGTGATGTCTAACGCGTTTGAATTTAGTTTGTGATCCGCTGTAGAGGTCGCAGTAACTTTCTATTGTTGCATTCATATACTTTGCAAAGCAGACTAGGCTGTGATGCCCTTTTTTTTCGTGTGTGCTTTTCTTTGCTTGGCCAGCTAATTTACAAACACTATCACAAGACTATGGCAGTTGAAAGTAACCCTGAAAAATACTGGTCCATAAACTGTTGCATCTAGCCACGATTACAGAGCGAGTAAAGGACTGTGGGAAAACACTCACTTTCCTGTTGGCGGTGTTTGCAGCTGCTTAAATAGTTGCTGGTCATGAGCAATTCTGTAGAGTCTTTCAGGCGACATTTCTGCTTCAGTCATGTTAGGTCTGTAGATGGTAAACATTTTCAGGTTCAGAAAGCAATTTTGGAAGGTGCTCGGAAATACTCAGAGTATTTATCTCTAAGTGATTTTCTTGGCTATGGACCCATCACAAGTTCCTGTGCAGCATTACTAAATAATGATAGGTGATTAACTATTTTAGTATTTATTAGTTGCTAATAAGATGGCATTCTATGCTAGTGTTCAGAATTCAGTTCAGAAGACTTTAGGAGATGTACATTTGAAAACAGGGCTTTCTCCATCCTATTAATGCTTCTGGCTGATCTTGTAGGGGCCTGTCTTTGAGCTTTCTCTTGTGGCAGTGTACATTCCAAAATGGCTGGTGTTCTCCTCCCCCAAGCCCCAGGTGAATTCTTGCAGGCAGACACTTTTCTCTCAGTCTGTCTGCTCTTCCACATCCTCCTCTTGAGTCCCATAGTCTGTTTCCTCATGTGCAGCTCTCTGCTTTGCCCACCCAGCTGTGGACATAGAGGAGTGCTGCAGCTAGGGGTGAGGGGGGAGGGTATGAGTAGCCTCCTGTCTTCTGTCTTCTCTTTCAAGTGATAGAGTTTAGCTTTGCAGCTGGGCCAGGCTTAGTGTGCGTCTTGCTTAAAAATTACTCCTTTCCTTAGTTAAAGGTGCCTTATTGTGATCCAGTGCAAGGGCCTTAAGTTCCTTTCCTTTTCTGCATCTTGATGTACGCATCATTGGCGTGGCATTCAAAGTCTGGGGTTTGTGTGGATGCAGGCTGAGGAAGTTCCCTGGAAGAGAGTTCCATTTTTGGTTACTTTTGCAGCAGCATCCATGCAGTAAAATCAACACTTATCAAGGTTATACTAATAATTTGTATCCTAGTTGAGAATTCACAATGTTCAAATATAATTATGCTTTCAATTTCTGATTTGTCAGTCTGTGAGGCCTTTAATTTAGAAACACTGTGCTACAGGTAAAAAGGTTTTGAGGTGGACTGTACTTTTTTCTAGTAATAAAATGTATATATACGTGTTTAGACATGCATGCATTTTATATGTTTTGTACTTACTGACTATACCGACTTTGTCTTAGGACTATGATCTAGATATTTTTAGAATTCCAAATTCTTCTACAAGTGATTAGTCATTTTTGTATCTCCCATTTGCATGTTATCTGAGGCACTATATTAATTTTTTTTCAGAAGAGGCTTCTGCAACCTAGGTATTGTTAAACCAAAGTCACTTAAGAATAGTGCCTTCTCTGTCCCAAGTATTAAGAGCTGTGCTTACAGGATTTAAACCCTCTAAGTTTAGAGGAAGACCAGCTTGAGCTTTCATTTGTGTTTGTGGGTTTAAAATGAGGAAAACAGTCCTCATGCGTAGGTGAGATGTTGTACCTTCTCTGATTGCTGCTTCTGCTTTCATAATTTTGGAATTAGTAACAAATCTTACTTTTTGTTTTCAGATCCCTCAGGGAAGGACTTACTGAAGGACACTGTTTAAATGTGTGACGTTACTGCAGGAAGATCACAGCAGGATAATCATCTTGCTTTGCACCTTGTTTTCCTAAGGGTAAGTTTGGGCTTTAGGTCTTCATAATCTTGTGTTTAGGGGGAGAGGTGGGTGAATAAGTGCTAGATGATACACCTTATTTTCTTTAACTACATTTGGAAATCTAAAAGCCTGTAGAGACAAGGTCCTATGGTGTGACTGTAGAAGGTCAGAGATTCTTCCTGCAGTGATGTCATACACTTCGTGTCTTCTGTAGCTCTTCAGAATTTTTCTGTTTAAACACAGAAATGCTCTATTATTTTAAATTTGAAGACTGAAATTAATTGGGGAAATCAAACAACCCTTCCTTTGAATCTGTAGCAAAGATGGGGGGGAGGGGGAACGGACATGAATTTGATTGTTTTCAATTTGTTATTTAGAATTAGGCAGATTGAAGTAAGATAATTGAACTACTTTACCATGAATTTCCAGTGTATATATTTTAAAACTGCACAAAAGTACCTTTAAATTAGTGGTTTACTGAAAAGAAAAATCTTCCTTTTGAGGAGCAATGTAATAAAGGTTACATATTAAATGTGAAGCCATTATGATGTCAGGTTTTTACCAGGTTTATTACCAAATTAACACAGATTTCATTCTGTGACTTTGCTTTGTACAATCAGAGTAGAAACTGTGTAAAAAATAAAAAGACGACCATACTGGTCTTAGATATCTTTAGTGATTCAACTCCCATTATGGTGAAAATCTTCCATGTCAGAGATTTTGTGAGAGACTGTGGTTGTTTTCCCTTTGTCAGTGTCCTGTTTCACCTTACTCTTGTACTTACTCACTTAAAAATGTATTGATTTGACAAAGCATTTATTGCTGGAGGAGGAAGAACCTTTGCTATGTGAGGATGTAGAGTATCTGAAATTATTGATTGTTTCTTCTAAACTAGATGGAAATTGACAGCGTCTTCCTGGTTAAATGAAATAATCCCGTGGATGAAGATTTTTGTGTTCTAGTTTAGTCCGTGTCGAATCTGTATTGTGCTGTGGTAAACAGAACACATTTTATAGTGAAAGTGCTGACTATACTTCTCATTCTAATAGTTTGAATGGTGCTGCTATGATAAGCTTTGCTTTAGAAAGAAAACACTAGGTTTATTTATAGTAGTATACACACTGCTTGTGAAGGATTTAGTTTTGCTAAGTATTTGTGTTCCCAGAGCTATTTTCTGTTAGCTCTAAATCCTGTGTTTTAAGAATATAAGAAACACAGTTGAAAGAGTAAAAGCAAAATTTAAAATACAGGTTCTCTTTCTGAATGTGTGTAAACTGATTTAGACAGAAAAAGAAAAAGCATTCTTAAAACACAGCATAAAAGTTTCAGTTCTTGCAATATAAAACTCTCAAGTATAAAAATTAGTTGGAGTTTACCTTCCTTTTCATTTTGTAATGAAATTGATACTTTGTTATAAAAAAGATACTTCCCTTGACTATGATTTCTATAACTGAAAGCTGGTTTTACATATGTGGGGTTTTTTATTTTGTTTTGGTCAGTGAATTTCACTACAGATATTGTTACATAAATACTATGTTTCTGACCACAATGTCAGTTTTCTATTTCTAGGTGTTAGTAAGTGGGAAAGCTCTCTTGGCCAAGGATTGATTCTATTTTAGATAGATATTAAAGGTTTCAGTATTTTTAGATGATATTGCAACTTTTAGCGATACAAATACTTTTACTGCTGCATGTCTTCAAACTCGGATATGTTTTAGCAGTTGTGAAGTAGTTTTACAAGTATTAGAGCAGATTTTGAGAGCTTTTCAGGTGACAGATCCTACTTTTTAAAAAAAAAAAAAACCTAAAAGAAGGCACTACTGTACCATTCTCAACAAATTGTTGCTGAAAATGACAAAATATGTAACAAGTAAAGCTGAGATATTAAGTCTTAAATTTCAGTATTGATGCTTGTTATACTTTTTCCTTTGTATAAGGGCTATTTACAGGTTTGTTTACATACATTTATGTTGTTATTTTTTACTCCACAAATATAAAATCAAATACATTAAGTACAGTAGCCTGTACCTTTCATTTATAGCACCATGTGATAGCTTTGTTTTTCCAAGAAAATGAGGAAAGTGTTTTTATCAAAATATTTTCACAAATTTATAGAACAGCGTAGGAGGTACCTCTGGACAGCCTCTGGAGGTCATCTTGTCCAGCGTCCCTGCTTGAGCAGGGTCACCTAGAGCAGGTTGCTCAGGACCATGTCCAGGTGACTTTTGAGGAACTCCAGTGAGGGCAGCCCTCACAACCTCTCTGGGCAACCTGTGCCAGTGCTCTGTCACCCTCACAATAAAAAAATGTTTCCTAATGTTCATATGGCACCAGCTGTGTTTCAGTTTGTGCCTGGTGCCTCTTGTCCTGTCACTGGACACCACCAGAAAGAGTTTGGCTCTGCCTTCTTTGCACCAAATATTTGTTGACACGTTAACGAGATCAGCCCTGAGCCTTCTCTTCTCCAGACTAAACACTCCCAGCTCTCCCAGCCTTTCCTTCTATGAGAGATGCTTTTATCCCTTAATCAGCTTAGTGGACTCTCTCCAGTAGCTCTGTATCTCTCTTGTACTGTAGACCTGGACGCAGTGCATCAGGTGTGGCCTCACCAGGGCTGCGTAGAAGGAGAAGGTTCACCTACCTTGACCTACTGGCAATGCTTTGTCTAATGCCGCTCAGGGTACTGTAAGCCTTGTTTGCCACAAGTGCACATTGCTGGCTCGTGTTCAGCTTGCTGTCCCCTGGGATCCCCAGGTCCTTTTCTGTAAAGCTGCTTTCCAGCCAGTTGGGGTTATTCCTTCCTGGCTGCAGGGCTTTGCAGTGCACATGTACGTCTTAAGCCTGTTCAGGTCTCCCTGAATGTCAGCACAAACCTCTGGTGTGTTAGCCACTCTTCCCAATTTTGTCATCAGCAAACTTGCTGAGGGGATGCTCTGCTCCATTATCCAAGTCACTGATGAAGATGTTGCACAGTATTGGACTCTGGAGTACACGGCTAGTTACTAGCCCCCAACTAGGTTTCACGTCACTGATCACAACCTGCTGGGCCCAGTCATTCAGCCATTCAATTTTTGTGTTTTCCTCATAATGTAATTGTTTCTAAACCAGTAAATATCTTTTCATTTGCAGTATGTATGTAAGCAACGTCTTCTGATTAATAACTGAGAGTTAGTGGTAATTGTTATACTTAAGGATGGCTTCAATAAAGCCACTGGAACCTTATAACAATTCTGAGGAAGTCTGGGTGTAGATACAGTAGTTTTTGTTTACAGTTATTGTAAGTTTTTGTTTTGTTTTGTTTTGTTTTCCTGGAGACAGGAGGAGTGATACTACACTGTAATCTTAAAATCTCAGACATAAGACTTATATTTCTGTACCTAGCATCTGTATGACAATATTCATATTTTTCTGTAGAATTCAGGTTAGAAACTTCTTAAAGGCAGTTTAATGTTATTATACAAATAAAGTAGTTTAGTTCTGCAGATAGGTAGCGGCTGAGCCACATTGCCAGCTTCCTCGTTTTACAGCTTCTTATTTTGAAAGTTTCTTTACTGAAACCTAAAATCAAACCTACAAATGCACAGAAAAGTAGTGTTATTCATGCAAGTAAGCATGCTATCTAGTGGAAGTATGAGCGTGAATAAAGTATGTGTATGTGAATATTGAGTTGGATTTAGAGTTTTTCTGTTGTGTTTATTGGAGTGGAAAATACTTTCTAGTGCCTAGTACCCATAAGCTATGAAGGAAAACAGGAATTTGGGGGTTTGGGTGTGTGGGTTTTTTTTTTTTGTTTGTTTGTTTGTTTTTTTTTTTGTTTTGTTTTGTTTTTTTTTTTTAGAAGTGTGCTGATCACCTATCAAAACAGGTGATGAGCTATTACTGAATAGTGCCTAGAAACTGTTTATTTTTAAATTTAGAATATAAATAGCATTAACATGAATGAGTTATGAGTTTAAGATCTCATTTAAAGTAGCTGTAAAATTTTCACATACATAGAAAACAATTTCAGGGTAAGCAAGCAAAAGTGCTTTTTAAAATCTCTTTTTCTCTCATGAATATTAGAAAGAAATGCCTGCAATCTTTAAAATTTTTTTCCCCTCTTTGTTTTCTTTAGGAAGATGATCCTCCTCATGGTGGTTATCTGAGATACTCTCAGTGACAAGCTGAAGCAGGAACAACTGAAAGCTATTTCTGGAACCCTGGATATACAACTTAAATTTGTAGGAACCTTTCCAGAATGAAAACCGCATACAGTTACCTTGATAATTGCAAAAGGATGAGAGGAAAGTTATGATGGCAAAAAACAAAGAGCCACGTCCCCCATCTTATGCTGTTAGTGTTGTTGGACTGTCTGGAACTGAAAAGGATAAAGGTAATTGTGGAGTTGGAAAGTCGTGTTTGTGCAATAGATTCGTTCGTTCAAAAGCAGATGAATATTATCTTGAGCATACCTCTGTGCTTAGCACAATTGACTTTGGAGGAAGAGTTGTTAACAATGATCACTTTTTGTACTGGGGTGACGTAACACAAAGTGGTGAGGATGGAATTGAGTGCAGAATTCATGTAATTGAACAGACGGAGTTCATTGATGATCAGACTTTCTTGCCTCATCGGAGTACGAATTTACAACCATATATAAAACGTGCAGCTGCTTCCAAACTGCAGTCAGCAGAAAAACTAATGTACATTTGCACAGATCAGCTAGGCTTGGAGCAAGACTTTGAGCAAAAACAAATGCCTGAAGGGAAATTAAGCATAGATGGGTTTTTATTGTGCATTGACGTAAGCCAAGGATGCAATAGGAAGTTTGATGATCAACTTAAATTTGTGAATAATCTCTATATCCAGCTATCAAAATCTAAAAAACCCATAATAATAGCAGCAACAAAATGTGATGAATGTGTGGATCATTATCTGCGAGAGGTTCAGGCCTTTGCTTCAAATAAGAAGAACCTTGTGGTGGTGGAAACATCAGCAAGATTCAATGTCAATGTTGAAACATGTTTTACTGCACTGGTACAAATGATGGATAAAACTCGCGGTAAACCTAAAATAATCCCCTATCTGGATGCCTATAAAACTCAAAGACAGCTAGTTGTTACAGCAACAGATAAGTTTGAAAAACTTGTCCAGACTGTGAGAGACTATCATGCCACTTGGAAAACCGTTAGTAATAAACTGAAAAATCACCCTGATTATGAAGAATACATAAATTTGGAAGGAACAAAAAAGGCCAAAAATACATTTTCAAAACACATAGAGCAGCTTAAACAGGAACATATTAGAAAAAGAAAAGAAGAATACATTAATGCATTGCCAAGAGCTCTTAATACTCTTCTGTCAAATCTTGATGAGATTGAACACTTGAGCTGGTCAGAAGCCTTGAAGTTAGTGGAGAAAAGGCCTGACTTCCAGTCATGTTTTGTAGTGCTTGAAAAAACACCCTGGGATGAAACTGACCACATAGATAAAGTGAATGACAGGAGGATTCCATTTGACCTTCTCACTACGCTAGAGGCAGAAAAAGTTTATCAAAACCACGTGCAGCATCTTATATCTGAAAAAAGGAGGGTTGAAATGAAGGAGAAATTCAAAAAAACTCTTGAGAAAATCCAGTTCATTTCACCTGGACAGCCATGGGAAGAAGTTCTATGTTTTGTGGTGGAGGACGAAGCATTCAAATACATCACTGATGCAGATAGTAAGGAGGTGTATGGTAGGCATCAGAGGGAGATTGTTGAAAAAGCCAAAGAGGAGTTTCAGGAAATGCTTTTTGAACATTCAGAGCTGTTTTATGACCTGGATCTTAATGCAACACCAAGTTCAGATAAAATGAGTGAAATTCATGCAGTTCTGAGTGAAGAACCTAGATACAAAGCTTTACAGAAACTTGCACCTGATAGAGAATCTCTTCTGCTTAAACACATAGGATTTGTTTATCACCCAACTAAAGAAACTTGTCTCAGTGGCCAAAATTGCACGGACATTAAAGTTGAACAGTTACTTGCCAACAGTCTTCTGCAACTAGACCATGGCCGCTCAAATTTATACCACGATAGTGCCAACATTGATAAAGTAAATCTTTTCATTTTGGGCAAAGATGGCCTTGCACAAGAATTGGCAAATGAAATTCGGACACAATCCACTGATGATGAATATGCATTAGATGGAAAAATATATGAACTAGATCTTAGGCCAGTTGATGCAAAATCCCCGTACCTGTTGACTCAGTTGTGGACCTCAGCCTTCAAACCACACGGTTGTTTCTGTGTGTTTAACTCTATTGAATCACTGAATTTTATTGGGGAGTGCATTGCAAAAATAAGGGCTGAAGCATCTCAGATAAGGAGAGACAAGTATATGGCTAATCTTCCTTTTACGTTAATACTGGCTAACCAGAGGGACAGCGTTAGCAAGAATCTACCTATTCTGAGACATCAGGGACAGCAATTGGCCAACAAATTACAGTGTCCTTTTGTAGATGTGCCTGCTGGTACATATCCACGCAAGTTTAATGAGACTCAAATAAAACAAGCTCTGAGGGGAGTACTGGAAGCAGTTAAACACAATTTTGATGTTGTAAGTCCAGTTCCCACCATTAAAGATCTGTCAGAAGCTGACTTAAGAATTGTCATGTGTGCCATGTGTGGTGATCCGTTTAGTGTGGATCTCATTCTTTCACCCTTCCTTGACTCTCATTCCTGTAGTGCTGCTCAGGCTGGCCAAAATAATTCTTTGATGCTTGATAAAATAATAGGTGAAAAGAGGCGTCGAATACAGATAACTATATTATCATATCATTCTTCAATTGGTGTACGGAAAGATGAACTTGTTCACGGATATATACTGGTCTATTCTGCGAAGCGGAAAGCATCCATGGGAATGCTTCGGGCCTTTCTTTCGGAAGTTCAGGATACAATTCCTGTCCAGTTAGTGGCTGTTACTGATAGCCAGGCAGACTTCTTTGAGAATGAAGCAATCAAGGAACTTATGACTGAAGGAGAACACATAGCGACAGAGATTACTGCTAAGTTTACAGCATTGTATTCATTATCTCAGTATCATCGTCAAACTGAGGTTTTCACATTGTTCTTCAGTGACGTACTAGAGAAGAAAAACATGATTGAAAGTTCTTATATGTCAGACAGCACACGGGAAACAACGCATACAAGTGAAGATGTTTTTCCAAGATCCCCCAGAGGAAGTTCCCTTGACTACAATTATCCAGATTCAGAGGATGATACTGAAGGACCACCACCTTACAGTCCAATTGGTGATGATGTAAGGTTACTCCCAGCACCTAGTGACCGTTCAAAGTACCGATTGGATTTGGAAGGAAATGAGTATCCTGTTCACAGTACACCACTCAATTGTCATGACCATGAACGGAACCATAAAGTGCCTCCTCCAATAAAGCCGAAACCACTTGTTCCAAGAACAAATGTGAAAAAACTGGATCCTAACCTCCTGAAAACAATTGAGGCAGGTATTGGCAAAAACCCCAGGAAACAGCCTTCTCGAGTGCCTACGGCGCCACCAGAAGATATAGACCAATCTGACAACTATGCTGAACCTATTGACACTATTTTCAAACATAAAGGCTTTGCTGATGATATCTACGCGGTTCCAGATGATAGTCAGAATCGCATTATTAAAGTTCGAAACTCGATTGTTATGAATACCCAAGGTGAGGAAGAAAATGGGTTTTCTGATAGAGTGTCCAAAAGTCATGGGGAAAGAAGGCCTTCAAAATACAAATATAAGTCTAAGACTCTGTTCAGCAAAGCTAAGTCTTACTATAGGAGAACACATTCAGATGCAAGTGATGATGAGGCTTTCACCACCTCTAAAACTAAAAGAAAAGGAAGACATCGTGGAAGTGAAGAAGACCCACTTCTTTCACCTGTGGAAACATGGAAGGGTGGCATAGATAATCCTGCTATTACATCGGATCAAGAACTGGATGACAAAAAAATGAAAAAGAAAACCCAAAAAATAAAAGAAGATAAGAAGGTAAGTCAGTTGATTTGAATTTTATTTACAACTTCTGGTGCATTGTAAGACGGGAAGAGTCAAACTGTGCAAGATTTGCATCCTATTTTGAAACAGGTGCTCTAAAATGTTGATGTTTGATTTTTGTCCAAGTTTCTACTTAACTCGCTCTGAACTAGCAAACCTGAGGGAATGAGATGGTTTGTCTACCTAATCAGCTGTTCAGTAAGTTTCAGTTCTCAATAAGTTTCAGTTCTTTTCACCACTGTATGTAGATATGCAGTCTCCTTTCCGTATGAGTAAGTGAAGGCAGATCCTTTTTGTTAATCGTAACATCTTTTTTTTTTTTTTTTTTTTTTTTTTTTTAAAAAAAAAAAAAAAAGCTGCTTTGTGAGTTCTTGGGTAGAACTGGTTCTTTCAGTTCTTGCAGTTCTGGCTGGCTGTGGGAATGAAGTTTAGGGCTGGTGAATGAAAGGATTGGGGTTTTTTTATTTCTCAGTTGTCTACCTGGAACTCTAAAACAGGAGCACAAAAAGGCAACTTTGTATAGTGTTTTTACTGACTGCTGCATTTTCCTAGTGTGGGCAAGCAAGTAATTAAGGTGAAAGCTGTGCTACCTGCACAATTCTCTATTCAAACAAAATAAAGAGAACAAAATGCCTGCCCGATATGGGTTTCTAATAGTAATGCGACATTCTACTTGAAAGATATCTGTTTCATTTTGATCTTTATGCTTGATAGTTACTTATTTTTTGACTTACTGTTTTAAAAATTATTATATCAAGGTAGTGTGGTGGTGTAGGTTCTGGATGCATAGTCTTTATAGTTTAGATTTTAATTTTAGGCTAGCAATCATTGCGTTGCATATAGTTTTTGTTTAACAGTAAACCCAGAGTGTTCCTGGTCCATTAGATATTTTCTTTCTTGTCCCAAAATAGCTCGACCTTTTTAATACGGTCTTTTGTAGGATTTTTTAAGTGTCTCAGCTTAAATCTGACAGTTCTTGAATAGCACTTAGAAATAAGTTTTGTTCAAGTAGAGCATAGTTAAATTTTACTAATGGATTAAATTCTGAATTGCACTTCCTAGTATGCAGCAGTGATTTGAATTACACATGACTGATGTAAAGGACACTAAATTTTCTTAAGGCTTACTTATAAGCATAGATAATGATGTCTCATGGGTATAAAATGATATGGTTAATAATACTTTGAAGTTATTCTTTTTTGGAAAATTAAATGCTTTTAAAAACAATAATTTATATACTTTTGATTGAAATAACCTTATTACATAGAAATTGAAATGTAGTGGTCATAATCCTCCTGCTGACTCAGCTGTATTGAGTTGACAGAAAGTTCCTTCAAGTTGGATATTTATGTTTAAACTGTGTAGATCTAGTATAGTGGGGTCTTCTCTTCCTGGCATTGTGTCAGGAAACCCACTTATATCTTTACCAAAGGTTCCACTTTTGGCTTTGGCCTCTTGAGAGACAGCCCCAGTCAGAAGTTTCAGGCTGTTCTAAAGTTTTGTAGTGGTTAAGACTCTGTTGTTTCAAGTTTTCTTTAACATACTGCTTGGTTTTGTTGTTTTGTTTTGTTTTGTTTCGGTTTTTAACTTTCAAGTCATGGTCCAGGGCTGATGCTTTCAAATTAGTCAGAGAAAACTTTTAATAGTAGAAGTACAGGTTATTGTAATGATGGAGAAAGCAAGTTTAAGTTGATAGCTAAAATGTCTGCAAGCATTCAAAATATCTGAGAATGCTGAGTGCTTAGTGCCTTTGATAAGTAGTGACTTCTGTGTATGTTGACTTGCGTTAATGAAGTGAGAGTAGTTCCTGTGATGAGTCATTCTAGTTTGTAATATTCTTGTTTGTTTTTTTTTTTAACTGGTTTGGGTTTTCGTTTTTATTTTGTTTTTGTTTTTTTTTGCGAGAGAGATGCAGTTTTATCAGTTTTGGAACTTAACATGTTTTCCTCTGTTTTAGATGAGCAGCCAGCAATCTTTAATTACAAAAACTCAAAAATTACTCAAATGATACTTTCCTTGTTGAGTGTTATTTAGTCCACGTGAGGGATGTTAGTGCATCACTATTTACAGATTACTTGCTGGGTTTTTTTTTGAGAATTTTGACCCCTTGAATGTGAAAGGGAAAAATATGACTTCAGTACCCCTTTCTGAGTATTTTTTAGAGCTCTTACTGATACTTTTCCTAATTGTTTAGCTGTATGTAAAGGGAACATAAGATACACATGTAACTATTGTTGCTATAATTACAGTGATTCTGAAATACAGAAATCTTATGAACAAAACATTTTTTTTTTGGAAAAACTCAGCCTTTGAAGTCTGAGTTCCTCATTGTCTCTGTCAAAGAGAACAACTTCATTTATTTTAAAAATCTTAAAAAAAAAAAAAACCATCATGTGGTATGCTGTTGCTTTTTAAAGCCCAAATAGGATGTAACTCCTTTCATCTTTGTTGGTTGGAGGGGTCTGAGATGTGTTGCTGGGTGGGTTTCTTGTATGGCATTGCAGAACGCTCCTATGCAGAGTAAGTTGTTGTTTTGCACTTCAGTTTTCAGTTATGCAAAGCAGATTTCATCTAGAGGCAGAATTTGCCTATGCAGATTTTTACATTTAGAATTTGGGGGGCGTTTGGTTTTTTTGAGTTTGGGTTTTTTCCCTCTTGGAGGTTCTGGAAAGTGTTTTAAAGGCAGGCCCAGAATAAGAAAACATTTAAAGATAATGCTCATTCTGTCCTGATACTTTCACACCCCGGTCTCCCAGCTTACAAGATGAAGTCATATAAAGGTATGGGCACTAGGATAGATATTGGGATGGGCACTAGGACAGATATTGGGAGGCAGGGAATGGGTGTAGAGTGATTGTAGGATTCAGGTAAAAAATTGAAGGGAAGAAGGCAAGAGCTGGGTGGGTAGGAAGCAGGAAGGGAGTTTTGGCAAACAACAGAGTAGGAAAAACAACAGTTCCTTTTTACAAACCTGAAGTTAACAGCTGTAGTTTAACTGGTCTGCTAACACGTATGTGCAAGCTTTTTTTAAAAAAATCTATTTTGAACACATGTTATTAAATGAATTGTGCTACTTGTTGCTATTTGGAAGCGTAAATGAAAATGTTTTGCTGTGGAAAGTATAGCAATGATAAATCTGTGGTGAGCAGGTAACATTACTTGTAAGGTCCTCTGACAGTGCTTACTACTAAAGGAAATTAATCAATTTAAAACTGAGACCTGTTAAGTGAGCGTGTTTTGGTCTGAATTATTTGACTGTTTTTGTCAGTAACACCGTGTTTGTGTTTTCCTATGCTGTTTCTATATACTGGTAGTTAGAACTGGAAGAACCATCCTTCAGCTTTGTTTTCAATTATTGCAGAAATAATTCCCCTGAAAACTTTTATCCCCTCGTTCTCACTATTCTGTAAAACTCCTCCAGAACTTGTTTCCTCTGTATTGGTGAGGATCATCTTGCAATTTCCAGTTTTCATCTTTCCTTGTGGTAATTTCTCTCCTGAAGTGTTTTTTTCCTTCTGTGATGTCTGACACCTCCAAACAGGTAAAGAGAATATGGCTGCTACTTGACCTGAGTTTTAGAAGATTAAAAAAGGTTTTGTAATTCCCTCTGAACTTAAGTTTTTGAATGAGGATGTCTGAAACTGTATATAGTATTGCAAAGAATGTCATAGCAGCACATCATATAATTATAATGTTTGTTGATCTGTACTAGAAATTACTACCTGACACAGTTTGTGTGATTGCACCCAACTTTTTCTTAGCTGCAGTTAATTTAGGAACTTTTTGTGTTCTTATCCTTGGTAATTTTCAGCTAATGACTTCCTACCGTGTACTACAGATGGTTTATATTACATGCACGTTGTAGTACATACATACACATAGTACATGTACATCATAGTACATGTATGTTATAATACCTGCTACATGCACATTCCAGTGCATGCTTTTTCCATTAGTCTATGACTTTGTCCTTTTTGTTGTTGAATATCATCCTGTTGCCTTTACTCCACTTGTCACAGTAGTTTCCTGTATACCACCATTAAATGCCTTACTGAAGTCCAGTTTAGTAAAACCAATTGATCATTGCAGTTTCTTTGCCTCTAGAGAAGAATACATGGTTTCAGTGGAGAAGGTTGGATCCGTCTAGCATAGTCTAACTTGTGATACAACCACCTTTATCCTATTTTATGTTATTACCATGTTTCTAAATGTTCTGAAAAATTTATTCTATGGCCTGGAATGTACTGATAGCAAGTGAACTGTTAAAATTTTTCTGGTAGGGAAGAAATGTGGAATATGAAGGCAAGTGGAGAGAAGGAAAAAAAAAGAAAGCAGACTGGCTAGAGAGTCACAGGACTTTTTAGGCAAGTTGTTGTGGAGCTGTGTGCACACAGCACACTTCAAAGCTTTCAAATGCATCTTGTGTGCCAATATTTGTTAAGCTATGATGTGCTGCTTTTTTTCCCTCTACGGAACTTTTTCTGTCAAAGTTTCTCTTACGAAAAAGCACCTAGTCCTTTCTGCTGTTGTTACGCAAAGTATGTCTGATTAAATGCGTTTTCCAGAGTGAATTTTCCGCTGTATCAACATACTTACTATGTTTGATTATTTGTTTCCTTACCAGTGTTCACAAACTTGGAGGAACTAAACACAAAGTACAATGTTCATGTGCAACTTTGCCTCAGCTGTTTCTGCTTTGCTGTGTTAGACCCCTCCAGCTGAGATGCGTGCGCATTCATCTCCATGTCTTTTTCGAAAATTGCAAGTGGGAACTACAAGTAGATGCTTGTATCAGAATCTGTAACACTGATACAAAGGTCTAGTATAGAACATTGTTGCGTATTGGTACGCACCAGTCTCTTTAAGAGCAGCAGCCTTGCAGGCCATATAATAAATTAATTTTGTCTTTAGTTTAACTTGATGAGTTTGGAGATATGGAGCAACAGAGAGAAAATGCAGAAAATTTCAGGATGTGAAAAGGCAGTGAATGTTTA